AAAAACTTATCTGACATGCACTTTGGATGTGCTTATTTAACCATGAACTTTAACTTATATTTGCATCATAATTACACGCGATTTACTGGTATATAAGTGTTGTGATAGTTGAGTGATATATGTTATTTTGCATCACGGGCTCCAAGCTGCTGTTTGAGTGCTCAGGTAAATTTTAGAATGAATTTATTTAAAAGTTTTATTATTACTCATGATATGATAGTTGAATTTGAAAATGTGTAAGAAAACAAGATGATTGTTTTAATTTCAGACTCCAATTTAATTAGATGGTGTTTTTATTTGAATGTGGATAAGTGGGAAGAACTCAAAAAGAGCATAACAGATATAGACAACAAATTCAATAAAAGATTCAATGATAATTAAGTGACAGTTTTGTATTATTTGCAGGGAAATGGGGTTTATACTAGACTTCCAGGGATTCAGAAATGAGGAGAACAAATTTGTAATTAAGGAGTTGGCTATTATATCTACAGATGAACAAATTTATGAGCTCCAACTTTTTTTACCCCCTTGTAGTATACATAGTTTGTCAAAAGAAACAAGAAAACATATTCATTGGGTTGAAAAACATCTTCATGGCTTATATTGGAGTTCTGGGTTCAAAGAATATTCAAAAATAAAGGATATTTTCAGATATGTTGATATAAAAGGAACTGTATATGTAAAAGGTGCAGAAAAGCAATCATTCATAGCACAACTTCTATCAGAGTTTAATGTTACAGTGGCAAATCTAGAAGATTTGGGCTGCCCAAGTCTATCTGTGTTGAAAAAACAAACTCATTTAGGTTCATATAAGCCTTGCAGTTTTAACCATCCTTCAACCAATTGCGCATACATCAACGTTTATATATTATTACAATGGTTAAATATTGAAAACAAGTTGGTTTCTAGCCACGTTAAGAATACTGATGAAGCTATTAAAGAATAGAGTCAACGAGGTTACCAGATGCAAGATGAATTAGTTAAATATTTACCCAAAGAGTTTATAACTAATTAAATACCGCATGTAGAACCTATTTATCAAAAGCTTCCATTACATGTGCAGACGGATCCTGACATCATTGAGAATTTGTGTTTTCAAGAACATTATGCTGTAATGGGGGATGTAAATGATGGACCTAATATTAAAAGAAAGTTCTGCTATTTTTTTAGAAATGGGGTAACCTTTGACATGCACAGCAAAACAGCAAGGAAGATACCAACCCATTTCAACACTTCATAAGCGCATAGAGCAATCTTCATTTTCATCAGCATCATGTTCTTCAAGTGGAGAAATTTTGTGTTGTGCTTTGTTCAATTTTAAAAAAGTGATTTAGCTAAATCTGGATTTTATCGGACTAACAAAATTATATCCTAGGTTCCCCACCAGTTTGTAATAAAAAAATGTTTTGTGAAAAATTATGAATGCAAGAATCAGCTATAGCTTTTGTATAAACATAAAATTTTTTTTTAGATAAATATACTGTATTGTTAAACTAGTATTTGTGACGCATAGCGGCACGCTATATTTTTTATAGTGTGTGCAGTTCGCGAAGCCGGGCTGCATGTTCATCTCGTTGCCTGCCGCGACTGCATCAATGCTCTATCCCCACCTTTCCTAGTCTTGTCCTCCTTCTTCGACAACCGGTTTCTACACAGAAAACCTCTCCGTAAAATCCAGGACGTCTATTCGATGTTTGGGATAAGTTATCATAGTTAGTTAATATGTAGAAATTAAGTAGGGAAAATGTCTGGCTAAGTCAGGTAACTAGCGGGGAGCCCTTCTGGCCCTTCTGGCTTAAATTTGTAATAACCAAACTTATCTGGAAAATACCTTATGTGAAAATTGATGATCTTCTCCAAACCACTTTTCAAACAAGGGCTGTTAAGACACTATCAGTTATTGAGAAGCCTAGATATATTATTGTAGGTTTCCAAACTAAACGTAAAGATAAAAATAATAAAAATGCATCACATTTTGATTTTTGTGATTTAAATAACATAAGGTTTTATTTAAATTGAATATACTACCCATATGACTCATTGAATGGAAACAAAGCTTTGTTATATGAATACTATGCAAAGTTTCAATCTTCTTTCTATGCAGGAAGTGATGATCAACCATGTGTACGCAAAAAAGACTTCATTGAGAGCTCACCATTATTTGTATGTGATTGTTCTAACTAATCTGAATCTTTAAAAAGTAGCACGATTGATGCACGTCCTGAAATTGAAACTACAAAAGCAGTTCCTGCAAATACTGATGCATATTGTTTGATTATAAGTGATGGATTAGTGTATTACTCTCCACTGTCTGGAACTGTCAAAAAAGTTATGTAAATAGTAAATTATAAAATAAATCTTGTTTAAAAAAATATGTTGTTATATGTTAAACTTATACCATTATAATAAAGGTAATTCAAAACAGAAATTAATATCATATATACAAGTTTATTTACATATTTCACTGACATAATTTATCGTGTCCATAAGCTAGGGTGTTAATACCATCATCTAGAATATGTCTTTTGTCATCATTAGCATTCATTGCAATTTTATTGATAGTAATAGTATTAATTCTATGATCTTTTGATCAAAACAGGGTTTGTTTCTTACAAATATTCAAGTCTCTATTAAACAAACACTTTTTAAAATCATCAAAATTGATGGCTTTTTCCAGGAAGCAAACCTACATATTCAATAATTATTTTGCCAGAACATTCATCCTTAAATTTACCTAACACTTTCTTGTTACTAGCAGAAAAGCATGGATGATTCTTACAAAAATTAGAAGTATCAAAATACTGTTTTAGTACAGGGCTATTCATGTCTACATAATTAGTGATAATTTAATAAAAAGGTGAATCATTGTCAGAATACAGAGTTTAACTTTTTAACTAAAAAACCTTTTTATAATTTGATAGTGAAAATCGTACATATAAAGTTTACTCAGCTCTAGCACTGTAAACCCTTTATAAATAGGTTTATTAAAGACAATACTTTCTTTTGAACAAGATACAGCAGCTAAGGATTCACTGTAAAAAGTTCTATTCAAAATGTAAGCTTACAAACTATTTTATCAAAACGTTTTTTTTATGCCACCAGTTCAAGAGACATTCTTTTACGTATATTTTCAATACTTTTACCAAACATGGCATTGTTAATTTTTTTATACAAGTCTTCCTCAAAAGGGTTTTTTAGCTAATGTTCTTTTTGCAGTATTCCAATCCATGTAGGGTTTAAGCCAAGGGCTTTGATTGAATTTTAAGATTCTATGGACTTTTGTTACTTTCAAGCCTAATTGAATAGCTTGTTTAAGGTTTAAATAATGGGTAATGTATCTTTCCTTATTTTCTAGAGTAGTTAACAGTTTGGTTTGCTAACAATTTGGTGGTGGTTTATTTTCAGGAAAAAGTGGTGGGTCATTATGTGAATCATGGATATGGATAGCATTAAATGTTAAACCTGGAAAAGAAAAGTAATGAGCCCAATCCAATCCATAATTTTCAAGAAAAATTGATTGAAAGTTCTCAAAAATATCACAATGTAGTAGAACATCTACTTTAAGATAGAGATCCCTATAACTTCCTAAATCCCTACAACTAAAATGTGACCAGACTGTTTTTGCATGCTGATATTCATTTTCATCAACCGGTTGGATCACCCAAACCCTTGTAAAAGAAGGATTTATCTGGCAATTTTTGTCATTTAGTTTTTCCCAGCTTTCCATACACTGGTATGGGTACACCCCCTTACGAGTGTCCAGAGGTAAATCAGATTCATGAAACAATTTTTTAGTATGGGAAAAGTTTTCTTTCGGTAAGTTATTAGCCACCTCACTTAATGATCGATCCAATAAACGATAAGTATCCACATATCTTAAAGTAATGCTTGATTGAGTATATTTGGAAAATGTAACATATTTTTCCTTTGAATTAGGTATTACACCCACTCCATAATTATCACATCCTAATTCTCTTATTACAAAATGGTTGTCATAGATAAAACTTCCACTCATAAATACTGGTAAAAAATTCTGAGATTGCCTCTTAAGATTACATTGTGAACACAGCACATTCCTAAATCATCCACTAAAGTGGCAGTGATCATGAACTGGACAATTAATTAATGTAAATTCAGAGTCACACAGTTCACAGTTTGTAACATTTTTAAACCGTTGTTTCTCATCATTTGTTAAAGGCAACATAGGGACATTTAATTGTGTTTAATCACTAATTAAATTAGCCAGAGTTTTCATGTAAAGCATAAATTTTGCTGGAGCATCTAACCCTCATAAATGTATGGTTCTTTAGGCAAATATCTAGCTATATAAGCAGGTAGAGAATCATCATAAGCAACATACACTCCAAAGCTCATTGGTTCATGAAAATTATTAACATAGGTTTTATCAGAAACTGTTTTGTTTGTTTTTAATTGCAAACATTCAAAATCAGCATAACAAACAATTAGCAGTTTAAAAAAATAGTGATGATTTTTGAACTTCAAAATGTTTGACAGGTCAGATTAATTATTTACTGAAGGATTGGATGGCATTACTACTCTTGCTGGGGTCTGTTTGGAACAGTCAGTTAAATGGACAGTTAGATTTACTTTCCTCTTAGGACCTTGGTAATGTTTAAAACATCATTTACAGGTAGACAATTTTCCAGTGTTGGTAGTTAATTGTTTCCTAATTAATCTACTCCAATCTCGAATATAACAGTAATGGTTAACTCCGTTTTTTGAGATAAAAAGCAAGCCAAAATGGTTAGGTTTTTCTTCATTGGTTATTCTTAAAGGATATACATGGACTATGTTCTGCTGATTTAAACCATAAACGTTAACACTGGTTCCGGGATTTTGTTTTTCAAATTTACTTATTTATTTGATTGGTGTAGGAAAGGAAATTCCTGTGAAGTCAAATTTGTGTCTATGTTCTAAAATTTTAGCAGTTATTCTACAATCATTAGTGTATTTTACTAGGAGAGACCATTCAAAACAGTTCAATCCCGATGGTTCTTAGGGTTGATGACAGCTTTCTTTAATGCGATTTCTTTTGGTAGAGGAATATAGGTGCTTCCTCGCAATGGTCTATACCTGATAAATCCCAGAAGCAATCCATCAACGGTTGATAGCGTCCATCCCGATCCCTTCCCTTCATATTCATGTTCTTCATAACACAGCTTACTAAACATTTTTCTCAAAATTGAGTTTATTGAAGAACTTTCCAGCACAGCCTTGTTTTTGGTTTTAAATGTTCTTAGCTGAATTTCATCTGTCACTGGTTTGATATAAGTACATTCACTAACTATATTGAATTTTAAAGCTCCATAGTCACTTAAAAGGTTTAGAACAATACTTTTAATTTTTGATATCACCGAAATTAACAAAATACACAAGTCCTTATTTTTCTCATCGCCATTTTTAAAATAAAATGTTTTCAAGTTTCCACTGAATGCGTTTCTTAATTCAACAAATTAATTAAAAGGTCCAGAACACGACCGGTAAAATCTGTTATATTTGAGATTGGAGTAGATTAATTAGGAAACAATTAACTACCAACACTGGAAAATTGTTTACCTGTAAATGATGTTTTAAACATTACCAAGGTCCTAAGAGGAAAGTAAATCTAACTGTCCATGTGTTCGAGCAACACTTTCATCGTCCGTTTCCATCTCCCCTTCCGAGCTTACCTCCATCCTGTGGATTAATAAAACTATTTAGAATGGTTTCTCCTCTACAATTGTGTAACTAAAACCACTATTTATAAGTTATTAGTAATAAGCTAACTATCTAATAACGTACTACACCTATAAACAATTGCTTTTTAAATAGCTTTCCTATCCATCTTAGCCTCCTCACAATCAACTCCAGGAGTTTCTTTTATTGCCCTTCCTACAGCATACAAAACATTCCTAATCTTTTTGAAAATTGGTGTTTTGGGCTCTGCCAAGAAAATAGCTTTTGTTGATACTTTAGTCCAAAACTTGCTTGGTGGGCATTTCTTAAGATCTTTAGTGTCAGTTAGCTCTATTTTAACCATGCAACGCCCCTCCTCACCGGGTGTAATAAGATTCTTCCTCAATCTTTTCTTTTGGGTTTGAAATGTTTGCCTAATGTTAGAGGATTTTTTTGTGGACTTAACAACAAATAACCCATCAAACTTGTCTGAGTTATCTGATTCAGATCCAGAATCAGAAGCCTCGGAATGTTCATCACCCGATGATGCTTCAGATGATTCAGATGGGGATGGTGAACGATTTCTTTTTCTCTTAAGGGAAACCTTAACACTGGGCTCATGAGTTCTTTTTGAAACTGAAGGTTTATCAATATCATCACCTTCAATCATGTTAACCTCAGGCTCTGGTAAACCACAATTAAAATCAGCCAAAGCATCTTCCACTGTACTATTCAAAAAATTGCTTGTTTCAATTGAGAAGAACCTATTACTGAATTTTTTTTCTTTAGCAAAGGTTTGACGCATTTAATTAGATCTTTAGATGAGATTTCCTTAGCCAAGAGTCTTGGGAGTTTTTCTTGAGATAGGTCATTGGGGAAAAATTCAAACAGTTTTGAATGTAAATGTTGAGATATTTGAGTTAGCAGCAATTGGAGATTAGCAAGTTCAGGATGAGAATAGAATCGTTCAGAGTCTCTTAATTTTGGAATTACATTCAGCCATCGTTCTACTGAATTTAATCCAAGAGTAATTAGATTTTGTACTATTTGTAGTAAACTGATAATGCCCACTGCAGATTTTACAACGCCCTCTTCAACTGACTGTTTAGATGGTGTCTGAGAACTCATGACTGCAAATATGTAAAAAAATGTTACAATTTTTAAACTTACAATAGCATTTCATGAAACAGTAATATTTAATTTTGAGCTTTGGGTTTTAAAGTTAAATGTAGTTTACAATCTCACTACTAACCCGCTACTAAATCTATTGAATTACTAACACAAGAAACCTGCCTATCCAGAAATCTTATTTTACAACTAGCTTATGAAACTTGTTCTTATATTTTTTAAATATCTGCAATATTTTAATTTGATATTTTGATGCTATGCCTTCTTGTTTTGATCGTGTTAGAGCTATTACTGTAAAAAATAGAATTACTAATGTTATTATTACTACACAAGGAATATAGTAATTATATTAAACTGCTAATAAAATTGATTGTTAATTAAAAATTAAATTTCCCATCCTAGACTTCTGATACATTACAGATTGCAATCTATCGCCCTGTAGAACCAAAACCTCCTGCACCCCTTTCTGTTTCCTCCATACAAACTAGTTCATACACCTGCGGATAGCAAATCTTTTCGCAAATTAATTGTGCAATTCTGTCTCCCCTCTCTACCATATAGTCCTCATCTGAATGGCTGCACAGTATAACCCCTATGTTACCAGCGAAATCCGCATCAATCACTCCGCCTGCCACATCAATACATTTTTTTAACGCGAGACCAGATCTCGGTGCAATTCTGCCATAACAATTGGCAGGCAGAGTAACTGCTAGATCTAACAACACACAAGCTCTCCCATTTGCAGGAATAGTAACCCTAATTGGTGATCTTTGGTCTAAGCCTGCTGCTTTGTTTGTGTGTCTATACGGGACGAAAGCGTGCTCGGACAGCTTTAGAAATCCAATTGAATTCATTCTGAAATTAAGAATAAGATACAATTGTAAACGTTGGCATGTTTAAACCTATTAATAGTTTATGGTATTTTAAACTGAATTTTTAATAATTTAACTATGCACATACCTGATTAATTGAGAGTTTAGCTAGAAGTCTGGAAGATGAAAGTAGTTAAAGGGTAAGGCTGGAGGTTGAGCTAATTCACACACGCAGATTCCTGAAACCATAACAGTAAATTAATAAGCTGTAATCAGTAATATATAATAGTTTAGTTTATATTCAAACCAAATTAGGTGGTTGAAACCTTTATTAAGTTAAAATAAATTAAGCTCAAGTATTGAATTTTAAATGCAGCAATAATAAAATATATATTTATGTTACAGGAATGGTGAGATACAAAAATTATTGTTATTAAGATATTTTGGCTCTCTAGTTATATTATTAGTTTCATGGTATACAATTGTAAAACAAAAGGTGGCAATTGTTGTATTTTATCAGGGTAACAGTTTATAACACAATATAAGAGCTAAATAAAAAAAATATGTGTTAAAATCCAATAGCCATATAATTTTAATGAAATTATAGATTTGATATTACACAATATGAGTGTTAAAATGTGTGTGATGAAAAACAAAAACATAATGGAATAGTTACCAAACAAAAATTAAGTTTACGTAAAAATAATTACTTAAACATTACAAACTTACTTAAAGTTTTACGGTGTAGGATATATAGGTTTACTGGGCTGGAGCTAAGCAGCAAGATGTTCAAACTGGAATCAATCAATATTATTAGACCACCATTTACTTTACATTTAAAAATATCAGTTTATTACTAACTAAGAAAACAAAGAAGCTAATTATGTTTCACATATTTAAACTCTGTGTTTACTAAGTTACAAAAATAATGAAACAAATGTTATTGCATAGTAAAAACATCTATTAAATATTCATTTAATAATTTTAAAAAAATGTACTGTACAACTAGCCTACACTAAAATGTTTAGTAAACAACTTAGCTAACATAACAAGTCAATATTGTACTCTTGCAAAGTTTTCAAATGTTATTTTGACTTTAAGTTATAAAATAATGAAACCAACATTAAAGTTTTAAGGTCTGACAGCTTTAGAAATCCAATTGAATTCATTCTGAAATAAAGAATAAGATAAAATTGTAAACATTGACACGTTTAAACCTATTAATAGTTAATGGCATTTTAAACTGCATTTTTAATAATTTAACTATGCACATGCCTGATTAATTGAGGGTTTAGCTAGAAGTCTGGAAGATGAAAGTAGTTAAAGGGTAAGGCTGGAGGTTGAGCAAATTTACACACGCAGATTCTTGAAACGATAACAGTAAATTAGAAAGCTATAATCAGTAATATATGTAATAGTTTAGTTTATATTCAAACCAACTTAGGTGGTTCAGACCTTTATTAAGCTGAAATAAATTAAGCTCAAGTATTGAATTTTAAATGCAGCAATAATAAAATATATATTTATGTTGCAGGGATGGTGAGATACAAAAATTATTGTTAATCATATATTTTGGCCCTCTAGTTATGTCATTAGTTACATGGTAGTCAATTGTAAAACAAAAGCTGGCAACTATTGTATTTTATCAGGGTAACAGTTTATAACACAATATAAGAGTTAAATAAAAAAAAATTGTTAAAATCCAATAGCCATATAATTTTAATAACACTATAGATTTGATATTAAAACAATATAAGTGTTAAAATGTGTGTGATGAAAAACAGAAACATAATGGAATAGTTAACAAACAAAAATTAAGTTTACGTAAAAATATTTACTAAAACATTACAAACTTACTTCAAGTTTTATGGTGTAGAGCGTATGGATGTAGTGAGCTAGAGCTGAGCAACAAGACGGTGTAGGATATATAGGTTTACTGGGCTGGAGCTAAGCAGCAAGATGTTTAAACTGGAATCAACCAATATTATTAGACCACCATTTACTTTACATTTAAAAATATCAGTTTATTACTAACTAAGAAAATAACAAAGCTAATCATGATTCACATATTTAATATCTAATATTTAAACTCTGTGTTTACTAAGTTACAAAAATAATGAAACAAATGTTATTTCATAGTAAAAACATCTATTAGCATTTTAGAAATATTCATTAAATAATTTAAAAGAATTTACTGTATAACCAGCCTACACCAAAACATTTAGTAAACAACTTAGCTAACCTAACAAGTCAATATTGTACTCTTGCAAAGTTAGTTTAAGAATTATTTTTCAATAAGCAATCAAACATTAATTAATATCAAACAACTAGCAAACACTTGCAGAATAAAATTAAAAAAAGAAGTTTAATTAAAAGTATAAGTATTTAACTAACTTTCCAAATGTTATTTTGACTTTAAGTTATAAAATAATTAAACCAACATTTAAGTTTTAAGTAAAAAATATTTTAAAGTATTTTAGTTTAACAATAAGTCTTTATAAACTTACATGGTTTGGAGCTTGAAAGCGCAGTGAGGGTTGATGAACTGGAGCAACTGAGTGTTCAAGCTGAATCTACCATCATTTTAGCCACTATTTATATTAACACTCGTGCGTCAATAAATGATTGCTTATGTGATCAGAGTAAAAATTACATCAACAAAAGGCTAATGTGGGTAGAGTGCAAGTTGCATCAGAAAATCTGATGTGGGCAGAGTACAAGTTGCATCAGCATGGTCACTGAAGTAATATAGTTAAATACGCAGAAAATGAACAAAAATAATTTGGGAAAAGTATTAAGGTACTATGATATAGAAGGACACATTTGAAACAAAACTCAAACAAATGAAAAAATTTTTAAACAAAAATATTGAAGAAAAGATTTAGAAAAATTCTGAAACATTTATCCGGCTGGCAGAATGTAGTAGGAATATAGTTACAATAATATCGAACTGTATAAATCGATTTTCAAAATTAATATCGATATATCGAATTAAACTAAATACCGATATATCGAAGTTAACAGATTTTTTTACTGTTTTGGGTATCAGGGCAACAGAATGCTGTAGGAATCTTTAGCTATCAGCGGCGCGCTGACCTCCGGGTCACCATGTTTGATTACCAATCACTCATTTGTGCATTTGCCAACTTCTGTTATTCTGTGGAAAATTTTGTTGCATAGTGGACTGTTAACACCACGTGCGTCCTTTACAACATGCTCGTGATTATCACTCATTTGCGTCAGCCAGAATCATGATAGATTTGGGTATATTACTTGATGTCTCTGTTCAATCAAGTTGTGGTTTTGTGCTAGCTTCAGTGAGCATCTCCTTCCACTAACTTGGTGAGTAAAACACAATTTAAGAATTAAAATCATTTTGAAACTTAAATATTTTTGAAACTTTATCTTTTTTGAAACTTATACTTAAATTTAATTTTGTTTTTCTCAATAAATTCTTTAATCACTTGTATCTTAGAAACGGTAAGAGATAGAGCAAAAATAAGAAAATTTTCAAGAAATTCCATAAATAAGGTTTTCATATATGGGCTATATAATGATATAACTATTATTCCTCTGGGACGTGCTTAGTCTGGACTTAACTATTGACCTTTGCCCGATGCTAAATATCTCTGTTATTATTTAAACTATCAAGTTGAAACTTGGTATGTAGGACGGTGGTAGTCTCTAGTTTATGGTAATGCAAACAAAATTCGGAATGATTGATAAGCTTGCACACAGCACACGGTCATGTGAATTTTTAAAAGTTGCCTTGCGTTTGCTTATTTACTAACCGATTTATATGAAATTTTGTACATATGTTAAGGACATAAAACACAGTTGACCCACATGTAGGGATTTTTAAAATAATTATAAATGTAAGGTTTTGGGCTTAACTATTCACCTCCACCCGATAATTAATATCTTAAATATTATTTAAACTATCAAGTTAAAATTTGATATATAGGACTCTCATTATAAGGTTTAGAATCATTTTTAAAACTTGAATATTTTTAAAACATAAAATTTTAGAACTTATACTTAAAATTAATTTTGTTTTTCCCAATAAATTCTTTAATCACTTGTATCTTGGAAACGGTAAGAGATAGAGCAAAAATAAGAAAATTTTCAAGAAATTCCAAAAAGAAGGTTTTTATATATGGGCTATATAATGATATAACTATTATTCCTCTGGGACGTGCTTAGGCTGGACTTAACTATTGACCTTTGCCCGATGCTAAATATCTCTGTTATTATTTAGACTATCAAGTTGAAACTTGGTACGTAGGACGGTGGTAGTCTCTAGTTTGTGTTAATGCGAACAAAATTCAGAATGGTCAATAAGCTTGCACACTGCACACGGCCATGTGAATTTTTAAAAGTTGCCTTGCGTTTGCTTATTTACTAACCGATTTATATGAAATTTTGTACATATGTTTAGGACATAAAATACAGTTTACTCACATGCAAAAAAAAAAAAAAAAAATCATAAATGTACAACTTGGGCTTAACTATTTACCTTCACCGGATACCTAATAACGCAATAACTGTTTGAGCTATAGAGTTAAAATTTGGTATGTAGGATGGAAACAGTCTCTAGTTTGTGTTAATATGAAAAATTAGGACCAACTGCAATGCAACACTACTTAAACCTCACCAGAGAGGCTGAAGCTCGGTTCCATAGCACATTATATGACACCTTATGATAGTCAGTGTTTTTGCTTAGAATTGCATGTTCTAGAACACGAAATTTTAAACACTAATGCATAATATGTCAATTATTATTTTAGCTATCGAGTTGCAATTTGGTATGTAGGTTGATGGCAGTCTCTATTTCGAATGCAAAAACAATCTGATTTGTGGATAGACCTGCGTGTGTTGCATGCAATTGTGTAAATGTTTTAAATTTGCTTCACATGTTGCTATTTACCGACGGATTCATATATTATAGGTTAGGAATAAAATGCAGTAGATGACACCAGCTGGCCGCGACGCTACACTACTCAAACCTCGTCAGCGGAGCTCTTGCCTCCCAGCTTCAACCA